TTGCTTGCGAGTCTGTGTGCACTCCAAGCTTTCCAAGCGGATAGGGGGCCCGTCCAGCTGCTTCTGTGGTCGCCTATGCAGGTTGAATGCAGGTTGACGCGCTCCATCCCCCCACCCACCAACAAACAGCTAATGCCCACGGCCTCGCCAGCACGCTCGAGATATCAATAGCCTCCTCATCCCGCCGCTCCACACCCCCGTGTTGCCTACAGCCCAGCTCCCGCCCAAGCGCGATCGCTACGGAGCCCACGTCCCCGCCTCAGCTTCCCAACTCGCACAAAGAGACGGATACATGCGATACTGCAGTCGGGTCTTGTAGCGCACGCCCCATGTCGAGGAGTAGCACGGGTGCCCATGTTAAGAAGAAGAAAACCCCGTGCCCGAACCCTCTTATCCACCACCTGACGCCATTCCTCACGCCCTCGTCCCGGGGCTTTCACCTCAAGCTTCGACCGCCGCCTGCGGTCCCTCTCTCTCCTGCGTCGCCGTTCCCTTAGATGGCCGAGTACTCGGTCTACCAAAGGGGAGCCGGCCAAAACTTCTATTCGCAACACTCGCAGAACATACGAACACTCCCCGGCCGCGTGCGCTCACCCACCGCTGCTGGCCGCATACCCTTCCCGAACCCCCGACACTCCCTCCCCCTCGCGATCTCCTGGGCGCCAGTCTCCGCAGACATTCACCATGTTCAACAACCCAAGGCCATGGAGGGCACCAGGGGCCACAACGCTATGATGAATGGGGCGCGCGGGCCACCAGAACTACGGGATGCAAATGAACCTGGGGGAAACCTTTTCCAACACAACCTAAAATCACCAACACCATGGGCCACGGCCACCAGCAACATCAAGAAACACACTGGAAGGCGCCCACGGAGGACAATACAATCACCAGCATAACATATCAAGCGGCGGCATGTCAAACGCGCAACCGCATTTTGCGCCCAGTCACCTGCAGAACGGCACACCAAACAGCGTGCACAGCGGCGTCAACAGACCCACGACCGAACACTGGGCCGAGCAGCGTACGCGCAGCGCAGACAGCACGCGAGATGACTCAATCACACTCGCACGCTAGGATCCACCCGAGTGTCAGCAAGAGCATCGTAGCGGGAACGGCAAACGGCATGCAGAAAGAGGCGGACAAGGAAGAGCGCAACCGGCCAGCAGCACAGCGAGCCGAGGACGGCAAGGACAACCTCCCGTGGACAATACGTCGATTTCGGCGGCCAGAATCTCAAGGTTATCACGCCCACGCTCTTCATCAACTACAGTTTCCTCACAAAGCTCTATCTCAACGCGAACAAGCTTACGTATCTCCACCAAGCCATCGGACAGCTCAGGAACCTGACGCACCTCGATCTTTCTCTGAACAATCTCCACTCTCTGCCTCCCGAGATTGGTATGCTGGTCAACCTCAAGCAGCTCCTTGTGTTTGACAATCAATTGACCGATCTTCCGGAAGAGCTGGGCTCGCTTTACCAGTTGGAGCTGCTCGGCATCGAAGGCAACCCTATCCCCGACGATATCAAGCAGATCATGATGGAGCAAGGCACTGTCGAGCTCATCAAGCATTTCCGTGAGACTGCCGCTGGTCCCGAAGCACCTCCGGAGCGAGACTGGATCGTCCTCGACGAGATCACAGACCCCGCGCAAGAGACTGTCACCGCGCTGAGCTACAACATCCTCTGCGACAAGTACTGCACGCAATCACAGTACGGTTACACTCCGAGCTCCGCCTTAGCATGGGAGACCCGACGAGAGCTTATCCTTGGCGAGCTGAAACAACGGAACGCCGACATAGTATGTCTTCAGGAAATCGACCAGGACAGCTTCAATGAGTACTTCCGAGAGAAGCTTGCGCACTACGACTACAAGGGTGTGTTTTGGCCGAAATCGAGGGCGCGAACGATGGCAGAGCGTGAAGCGAAACTTGTCGATGGGTGTGCCATCTTCTACAAGAACAGCAAGTAAGTAGCAACCCTGGAAACTAGTATGGTTCGCAACTAACAGCCACAGATACGTTTTGCTGGACAAGCAGCTCATCGACTTCGCCAACACTGCCATCAACAGGCCTGATATGAAGGGAGAACACGACATCTTCAACCGCGTCATGCCTCGTGACGACATCGGAGTGGTGGCCTTTCTGGAGAATCGCGCAACAGGATCAAGATTCATCGTTGGCAACGTGCACGTCTTCTGGAACCCGGCCTTTACCGACGTCAAGCTCGTGCAAGTCGCAATTCTCATGGAAGGAATCTCGAAATTTGCTACCAAATGGTCCAAGTTCCCGCCATGCAAGGACAAGGTAGTCTACCGCTTCACAAACGGCGATGACGAAGACGGAAAAGAAGCCGATACCACACAGGAGCCTGGACCGTCAAAAGAATACGGCGCTGGTGCAGACATTCCCGTCATACTCTGTGGTGACTTCAACTCGATGCCGTCCTCTGGTGTTTACGACCTTATCACTCAAGGAACGATCGCCCATTCCCACCAGGATCTCGGAAGCCGGAAGTATGGTAACTTCACGCGCGACGGTATATCTCATCCCTTCAGTCTCAAGTCCAGCTATTCTGCGATCGGTGAAATGACCTTTACAAACTACGTGCCTCACTTTCAAGGTGTCCTCGACTATATCTGGTACTCAACCAACACGCTCCAAGTTGTTGGCCTTCTCGGCGACATTGACAAGGAATATCTGCGACGGGTCCCAGGGTTCCCGAACTATCACTTCCCTAGCGACCACGTTGCACTGTATGCGCAGTACATTGTCAAGGGTCGGAAAGAGAAGAAGGTCTCAGAAGTCGACTTTGGGCCGAGCCGGGATCGAGAACGGAGGTAATCCTTCCAACACGTGTCGATCCCGGTCTGCAGCTTGTCATTTGGCGTGTGTGCGGAAGTGGTCGGCATTTCCTGGGTTTGTTTGCTCGGTGTTCGGTTGCTCCTTCAGTGTCTTGCGATTCTGCGGGTTTGTGAGAAGTGTTTAGGGTTGTCAGTTGTTTCCAAATCAGTCTCGGCGGAGGATTTTGCTCAGTGATAGACGTATGGCCCAACTACCATCTTATCTGGGAAGGAATGGGCAATGCAGGTAACACGAATCTCACATCATGTCTGTTGTCTAGTGCTCTGGCACTAACCTGGTATTCATTCTTCGCTCCGATGGATCTCTACTCTCTTTTAGCCCTGCGAGCGTCTGACGATTTGGCTGGGGTTTTATCATGCGTTTCATTTTGGGGTTTACTTTCTGGCCCTTCTTCTTTTCTGCAATGTATGAAATAGGTAGCTCTTCAAAGACAACGGCCTCAGCTTCCAAGCTGGGCCGATCATTCACTGGTCGTTCAACGCTCGATGTGCCTACATCCCGCCGAATCAAAGTACTAGATGTTCGCACGTGCGTAACATGGACAAATCGACGAGTGGCCCAATGGCCACTCTCATGCAGTCAGCATGTCACTGTCAGCCACGAAAGCGCCGTCAAGCGGTGGTGTTCGCAGATCAGTGATCTGGGTGAAGTCCAGATGATGAGCGCTGGGGCCTCGCCAACGATCTCACGTGCTAGTCCGCAATCGTCATACGCCCGCACCTCGACGACTACCCCAGTCCCCTCCACCGCCTATTGCCTTCATAACCGTGCAAAACAGCCACAACCCTACAAACCTTCATTACACTTCCGCCACACACGCACCATGGCTGCCGTTCCCGCTGCCAGAGAAGTCCCGCTGGACCCTAAATACGATCACTACGATTTTCCCACTGTCTCCCCCACGGCTCAGAGCGGGCATCCTGGCCATACCACGGCCGAGCAAGATGCCCAGATCTTCCAGCTACGCAGCGCCCTCGAGGCTGCTGGTCACACCAAGAACCTCGACACATTGACATTGGTATGTGTGGAAAGCTGTACTTGTGTGAGAGCACGAATGCTAACTCAATCTTAGCTGCGATTCCTCCGCGCGCGCAAGTTCAACGTTGAGCTCTCCAAGGAAATGTACGCATAAACACACACAGACGACGAAGCACGGGCCGGACTGACTGTCTGGCAGGTTTATCAACAGCGAGAAGTGGCGGGCCGAGTATGCTGGCGTCGGTGTCGAGGAGCTGGTTCGCACTTTTGACTACAAGGAGCGGCCCCAGGTATTCGAGTACTACCCCCAGTACTACCACAAGACGGACAAGGTATGTCCAACTACATGCAACATTGTCGAGAAGGAAGACGATGCTAACAAACCCCCAGGATGGGCCGCCCAGTGTACATCGAGTCGCTCGGCAAAGTCGACCTCACCGCCGCCTCGGCAAGATCACCTCCCAAGAACGCATGATCCAGAACCTCGTCTGCGAATACGAGAAGATGGCCGACCCCCGTCTTCCTGCCTGCTCCCGCAAGTCGGGCTACCTCCTCGAAACCTCATGCTCTATCCTCGACTTGAAGGGCGTCGGCATCTCCAAGGCATCTTCCGTCTACGGCTACCTGCAGTCTGTGTCTGCTATCAGCCAGAACTACTACCCTGAGCGCCTGGGCAAGATGTACGTCATCAACGCACCCTGGGGCTTCTCCGCCGTCTTCAACTTCGTCAAGAAGTTCCTCGACCCCGTCACAAGCGCAAAGATCCACATCCTGGGCAGCGGATACGAGAAGGAGCTTTTGGGTCAGATTCCCGCCGAGAACCTGCCAAAGCAGTTTGGTGGATCGTGCGAGTGCGCCGGTGGATGTCAGCTCAGCGACGCCGGCCCGTGGTGGGACAAGGAGTGGGCCAGGGAGCCCAAGTGGGCGAAGAAGGACAACGCCGATGCCATCGACAACACCCAGCTTCCCCCTCCGACAGAAGGCGGCAACGCCCAAGTGCCTGTTGTTGCTGACCCTGCGGCTGCGCCAGCTGTTGCTCCCGCACCACAGCCCCAGGTCTGAGTTACGGAGCGATCTAAAAGGAGTGGCGGCGTTGAGGAGTAGTAGCTAAAGAGAATGAGATGGCATTGAAGAGAGGCCGATGCGGAGCTGATTTGAGTGGATGGCACGCTATGCAACATAGACATGGTTTGGCATAGTAAGCGTGAGAATACATAATCCATTGGACTAAAAGTTGGGTGCCTCAGTCTACAGTCATAGAATGCGACATATTTCCGCAGTTGCTTTGTTTGTATCCGGACGGAACTCACGACAGCTCTCTTTGTGGCCAGGGTTGTCGCAGTCTCAGGACGGCGAATGTTGCATTCTTTGTCCATGAGAGGTGGAGTTCCTCAATCATCGACTCACGCGGACTTTTTCGCATAGCTGATGATTCCTGCATACTAACGTTCCATCGGACACATGTCCAACATGGATCCCAGTCTAACATTAGAAATTCCCTTCGTCCTCCTCGGTCGAAAAGACCTAAAGTCAAGCAAATACCTCCCACAAAACGAGGAGCAAACAAAACCTCTGGAATACATCAATGCCACTCTCCTCGCACTCTGTCCCGACATCCTCGTGCACCTGATCGCATCCAGCGACCAAATCACACCAGATGTAGCATGGCATCTCTACCCCTCCCCCTTCGACGAAGACGCCATCCTCACCGTCGGCGAGCGCGCCAAACTCAGTAAAGATATATGGTCCTGTCCCGCCATCCTGCACCGCACTGGTATTTCCCTCGACACCAGCTCCACTGCCTGGACGCTATTCACTCATGAAGCCGGGCAAATCTTCTCCGCTCTCGCTAAACTAGATGCGCACGAAGAGCCCGAAATCGTCGTCCACGGCGAAACAATACACTTGCGCCCGTGGAGCCTCGTCACGCCCTCACAAGCACAATTACGAATTGTTCTCGTGCCAGGGCATGATATCCATCCCCCCCTTTTCAAACACACACTCATCCTCGCCGCCGCGCTGGAGCGCAAACTCACGCTCCTGACCACGCCCTCTGCACTACTTCGATACTGGACGCTCTCGCGCTTTTTAGAGTTCCGCGCGGTTAGACAGTTGGGGCGGAAGAAAGCGGAGTTGTGGACGGAGAAGGGCGACGCGTATGCTCGAGAGGAAAGGAAGTGGTTTGCTCGCTTCGATGAGGAGGACAGGGCGGGTCAGCGGACCAAGAAGCGGGGGAGGGAGTGGTGGGATGTTGTGGACAGTGTAGGCGTGGATGATTTCAGGGGGTTTAGGGAGAATGGGGGGGAGGTTGGGTGTTGAGCCCGACTTCGCTGGTGGGGATGGGGGGCAAGTCACTGGCCTGGCGTTCCAGCAGTTCCACAGCACGTTAGATGCCGGGGGAATCGTCGCGTATACCGAGATCATCGCGGGCCTGGCGCACATGGCCTGCTACTTCGAGCACACGCAATTGTCGGGGTGGATGGTTGAGTGGCGTCAGGAAGCGCCATCGCAACTCCGCGACGGGTTCAGGAAATTGCTTAGGGCACTACATGTCAGCGAGCCGTTTATTTCGTTCTTCGAATCTTATCTGGATGCCCTCTACTCTGTCACGGCTTCTTCGACTGGATCCGAACCAGAAGACGGACCAAGTCATAGCTCCCCCTTCTTTCCCCTAACCTTGCACATCTCGCATACCCTCTCTTCCGAGCGTGCATATATACCCACTTTCATCGCGCGCTACGCTGCGGCCTCGGGCTTCCACCCTAGGCCTACGAGTAAAGTCTACGCGCTTATGATGGCGGATGAGCAAGCGCGGACGACGACGACGACGAGGGGATGAAGATTGGCTTGATGGAGCCAGAGATAAGGTCGATATTGGTGAGGGGAGGCAGTTGCAAGAGGATTTGGATGGGGGTCTGTGGACAGTCCGGTGGGAGAAGGGGCAAGGGTAGCGTTAGGGAGGAGGTTTAAGGAGGGGCTGTATTGGTAGGGGAAATTGGACAGTTTTGATAGTCAAACTATACGAATAACACGATAGCTCATATAAATTCCAAAAAGTGAAAAGTGACGCAGTAAGCCAACTTCAGAAATCTCAGCCAGTCTACTCGGTACCATTTCCAAGCTAGCTACACTGTTCTGAGCGTTCTTCCACAAGCCTACAGGAACACAGGCGACCCGGATTTTCTCTTGCGGTTGGAGAGGTGAGAATTTCTAGACTGTGGAGGGGATTTCCATGCCACCTTCAGGACTGCATAACGCACAATCTGACTCCTTCCATGTCACAATGTGAAAACTTCACTGACCAACATTCCACGAACACCTAGCCATCTTCAAAGACAAGAGAGAGCTACCCAAGGAAGGGATCGCGCCGAAGAACTCCGCAGGGTTGCCGATGTCGGGAGCGCAAAGCAAAAGATCATCAGTGAAAAACTTCTAGCGGCGGCATATGAGCGCCGACGCAACGAGGATGTCAAATGCAACTGGCGCAACGAGGAAGTTAGCTCTACCAGGATGAAGAATGATGAAGAACTGGTTGCAAAATCCGCCAAGATGTTCAGTGGATACCTCGGCGATGGCAAAAAGGACAACGGTTGTTGACAAAATGACTCGGAAGGAGGGAAGGATTTTGGCAGGGACACGTCATCCAATTCAAAGCATATCAACAACGAATGCAATAATTCAAAGAAACACCAGACAGTGAACAAGTATGAGCTTTTGATAGATGACCGAGTATGTTAAACCATAACGTAAACTCTACTGTGATCCGAGACCGGCATGACAGAAGCCATACGTATTACACATTGTAAAAAAGGACATCCCTTCCAAATCAAAACCCGCTACGCCATGCCGAAATGCATAAACTCTCTCGTCGATCTCAGGACCTTCCACGCTCGCCGGAAAGGGACATCTTGGACTAGATGCGATGTTTCTCAGATTCTGGAAGACTTGATTAGCATCTCACTCAAAGGTGGTCGCCCAGGAGGACAGACTAGTGGGGGCCCTCACCGAGTCTCGAGTACAGCATGTACAGCGCCATCTGGTTGCACTCTTGCGTGCCCGTGATGGTAACCAGACGCTCGTTACTGTTGTCCGTGGGCTCGTTAATCTTGATGACACTGCCACTAAGCTGGCGGATCTCGTTGATCTTCGCACCACCCTTACCGATGATGGCGCCAACCATGTCGTTAGGAATGAAGATCTGCTGTGTTAGGGGCTGGCCGGGCATCGAAACGGGAGGCTGGTTGGGAGGACCACCATGTGGGACGGGTGCGCCCTGAGGGGCGCCGTAAGGTCCAGGCTGCTGGGGAGGGCCGCCGTAGTGTGCACGACCTGGTGAGCCAGCTCCATAAGGCATCTGAGGCTGGCCATATGGTGAAGGGTGAACGGGTGCGCCGGGTTGCATATGAGGTGCAGCACCATACCCTCCATGTGCGGGGGTGCGCTGAGGCTCTTGACGGCGGAAGTTGTTGGGCTGCTGGTACTGACCTCCTGCTGGCTGTGGCACATATGGCTGTACAGACATGCCACCAGGAACGACATTCGCCGCCATGCCACTACGGGTAGCATACTGAGACGCAGCAGGGCCACCGAATCGCTCAGTGAGTTGCTCAACGAGAGTCTGCGCAACGTAATACACGGCAATATGCACAGCGTCTGCCACACCAAGCACGACCAAAGAGCGCTCACCAGAGTTGGGGAGCAGGGTGTCAGAGGCGTTCAGCTTCGCGTTGGAAGCTTCCTGGATCTCACGAATACGCACACCAGCCTTGCCAATGATGGAGCCGATGAGAATGTGAGGGATGAGCAGGCGCATGGGGTAAGCCTTTGATGTAGACGTTGACGGGGCCTCGAGATCCTCTTGGTTAAGGGTACGGACAATCAAGCCAAACGCCTTTGACACGGCGTCTACCTGACCGCTGACAGTGAGGATGCGCTCGACAGCACCTCGCGAGTAGTCGCTCACGGTGCACTTGGCACCCGAAAGACGGCGGATCTGGGTCACGTTCTCACCACCCTTGCCAATGATGGTGGCGGCCTCGCTGGTGCCAATGCAGGCGCGCAGATGGAGCCAGTTGGTCTCATCCACTTGCTGGCTGTGCGACAATGGCCGGCCGTTGGCGCCTGATGTGGACTGGATGGGCTGTGTCTCGAGAATAGAGGGCGCATCTGGAACAATGGTGTCGGTCTGGACGGGCTCGGCGCCGTTCTGCTCAACAGCTTGCGCAACATCCTCGGGCTTGATGTCTTCAGCATTGATGTCCTCTGTAGCGATGCCTTCGCCTTTGACGGGCTGCGCAGTCTCGATCTCGTCTGCAGCAGGCTCGTCCCTGAGCATTTTATCGAGAGCGGGGCGCTTGGCATCGGGCTGGTCGTTCGGTCCGGCAGGCGAAGAGGGCTCCTCCAGGGGCCGCTTGGTGGAGGCGGCAATGGTTGGTGAGGCCGACATGATTCCTATGTATGAGTCTTGAAAGAAGTGTATATGTGCTCTTCACAGTCCAGGGGAGAGCTCAAGCGATATGCTGAGTAATCTTTTCAATTGTTCGCGTTATGTACAGCGGGACCGAGAAGGAAAGCGTGCTGGTGCTGGCGATTGGAAAGGAGGAGTGCGGTTGAGGAGTGTGTGGTGGAGGTGGGTCGTCGGAGCAAGAACAGGACTTGGAGCGTGCAGAGGGTGCAGTGGTCGGAAGAGTGAGGCCTCTACTGTGAGGGGGGCCACGGGTGATGGTGATGGTGCGTGTGATGATGGAGGTGAGTGCTTTCAATGGCGGAGGAGGTGATGTCGACGAAGGGAAGAAAGTGGCCCAAGTAAAGAAAGCTCGCCTGTCAAACCTTGTCGGCAAGCAACCAGCGATCAAGTGCAGAAGGCTCAGTAGCGCGCCTACTTGGACAGCGAGAATTATTCTGATGGAGAGAAGCGACAGATGAGCTGGTGCAGAAGGGACCCTGGGCGCTGGTTGAGAGTAGCAAGCAGGTGACTGATGCGAGGGAGGACGTTGCACAGATGTTACAAGTGCGGCCGAAAAGGAAGAAGGAGGGGATCGTCGGTCACTGGCGCCTTGGCAGTCACGTGCTGCTCACAGCACTACAGGTAAAGGCAGACTCTGTCGCGTCAAACGCAACACAAATTGAGAGCATAGAGAAAGAGATGGGTGGTAAATGAAGGTTCAAGGAGACGGGTTGCGGGACTTGTGATTACATTCCTGATTGTAAGCACTATACCGGCGCTACCACACAATCACGACGCGTCCAATACAGTACCTCAATATGGCGCAACACCAGGACAATGCTGTCCAGAACATTCGCGAGTATGTAACAGAAGTACGAGAAATACAAGAAGGTGCAATGGACTTTGACGAGTCAAACACTGAGGCGCGTCTGGAGCAGACCGTAAAAGAGCTTCAGGCACGCGTCCAAGAACAACAAGCTGCACTGGAGAAGGTATGACCTTATCAATCTGGTATATACTCGTTGACTGACCTGTAAAAAGCTCAAGGCCCAGTCCAACATCGACCTTGAAGATGCCGCGTATGCGTCAGAAGACCCTCGACAAAAATTACAACAACTCCGGGCTGTCAAGAATGCTTATATGAATCTCAAATCGACAGCAACATTCCTTCCATCTCAAGGATCAGTGCTTCCAGCATTGTTAGCTGCAAGATCTCTCCAGCAGAATGTCCAAGGAACCAAAGAAGCAATCACCGGCACCCAAGCACAAGTCACCAAAGCAGAAACATCTCTACGCCGCACAGAAGCTAATCTCCATGATGCCAATCTCCTCACTGCAGCCATGGAGAACCGCATCGAGCGTCTTCGCACTCAGCACGAAGACCGCTCGCAGAAGACGCCCGCCCAGTTAGCCAGAGAATTAATCGCAGCCAAGCGCGCTCAGAAAGACAATTACGACGCTGAAATGCAGCGGTTGGGTCAGGCTATGAACGACTTCATCAACGACTACCTCTCCGCCATGATTGCAGCCGAAGAGCTCGGCGGCCCTGTCGTAGGCGATATGCTCGACGTTGAAGACGACACGCTCGCAGCCGGTTTCACGAAAAAGGGGCGCGCAAAGTCAAGCAAGAAGCCTGTGTCTGATAAGACTCGCCAGCGCAGGATCGATCAGATCTGGGGCAACAAGACTGCTGTTGCGGACGATGAAGAAGAGGAACCACCGACAGAGGCCGAAGCTGCCGATGCTGAGATGCGCAAGCTGATTGAGAATCTGTTTGCTTCGCTGGTTGGACCGGGTGGTGGGAAAGCGTATTTCCAACTTGAGAGAGATTCGGCTGCATCGAGGTTCTTGGTTAGGGCAAAGGTTGCGCAGTTTCATCCTAAGGATGCACGAAAGCTGCGGTTGATTGACTTTGGGAGAGAATTGGATGATTGATTGGTGTACGGTTGTATCACGGCTTTGGTATGCTATAGTAGTCATTGTGTTATGGCGATCAGTATATCTGCAGCTTCCGATCTATTGTCGCTCGTCACCAGCTATCTGCCCAAAGCAACAATTATAGAAACATCTCTGAGGCTGCAAGATTCTGTTCCCCATAAATTGTAAGCGAAGGTATACCACACATTTTGCATATATATCATGAGAAATCCGCATCCTGGATCCTTTGAGAATCGGTCCTTTGGTGGTTTCCCTGCAGATTCACGTCATCTTCACGCAAATGCCCCTCTTCTCTTCCTCGCCCAAGACTTCCTCCGTCTCGAGTCGCAGCGAGATAACCGTTATCCACCAGTGAGCGGATGCATCAATATATTGAGGATGTCGAAGCAGGCAATGATAAACCCCTCGCTTGAATCCCTCGCCTCACCTTCCACCCTTCCCACCACCCGATATAGCCCTTCTCCAGTCGTTCCCACCAAAAACTCTGAACCTGGGAGGCAGTTTTCTGTCATGTCAGACGACTCCATCTGTGGCGGTGCGCTCTGATCCTCTCTAAACTCTAAAACCTCATAGCTGGTAACATTTCGGTATCAGGATGTCTTGGTGACAATGTCACTCTGTTCCCAGCCTCAACCCCACTGTGTATACTTCCGCGCGCTTCGCAACCTCACTTCCCCGACCCTGGACCTGGTCTCTAAACCTCCGGATACGACTGACCCCACTGCACACATCATCGCGTTCCAGGTACGCGAGCCAGGACATCCCGGGTTGTAAAGCACTTCTCCACGTCTGGAATCTTCAAATTTGCCCAAAGCAGTTCACGTACACCGCTCGACTCGGCAGTATTGGACCGAAGCCTCGCGTCCCGATGCGTCATATCGTCGCATCTTGTGCTTACGCTCCCCCTCGAAAAGCGCATGGGAATGTTGATACAGGCCCATCCCCGAGCGGCGACGCTCTGACTACGCAAGTGCCCATCGCTACCGACCTTTTTCTTTTCCATTGACCGCGAAAGGACCGAACCATATTGAGCGATCAGATCACCGCGCCGTCGGAAGGATCTCCTTTGCATCCCAATGCCCGGGGAAGGGGACAAGCTCAGCTCAGCCCATCTTGGTGTTGACCGTCAGATAGCGGAGGAAAAAGCAAGCTTGGCATTTCTTCGATTACGCCTACTTTTCTTGCTGATCACGGCCTTGATGCCCCAAACCAGTCTGCGAAGATTCCAAAGAACGTTCACTGCGACCTATGTCGATGGACCCCCAGCTTAGCACCGTCAACGTGGCTCCTGTAGGTACGCTTCTACCCTGGTCAGCCAACCGGCAGTATTCCGTGAAGGCGTCAGCGGCGCTCATGCAAAGCAGCGTACATTGTCACCGCGCCACACCTGTGCTGATTCGCTGCCTTGCCCACACACATGCATTTTGACTCGCCAGCGGGTGTCTAAGCGAGATAACGCACGCGCTTGCATCTGGCAGGACATTCGGTAGCGAAAGTGATGCTGTGCCTTTGGGTTTTAGCCGGTGCGGTTGCGGAATTGTGGCTTGACTATAATGGGAAGCTGGGTAATGCGAGATCTCAATGGGCCGAACATGAGATCTTAGGGGGAAACCCCTCATGGCTTGTCCGTGGTCCTGCGACTCGAGAATAACGACGGAGGCATGGAGGCCGCACGAGTCGAGGTGTGACGTGGGGATCCGCATTTGGGATCATGGGATGAGAAAAAAACAAGTGGAGCGCGATTGCATGTCTTGGGCCCATCTGAAACGCATTATGGCTGATCAGGAGCTTCACCTTGCATCTCCCATGTCAAATCGCACACCGTCTCACCGCAGGACCGAACATCCGGTAAATCTACTTCCGTAATGCTTTTTGATTGCTGCATCGAATTCATGTGATTCGGATTCGAAAGCGACATCATGGGCGACTCGAATTGCGCGACAAGGAGCGGAAATTGCTCATTATGCCCTTGGGGCGCGCAAGCCAAGATGGATGGTTTGGGATCGCGTCGGGGTTCACTCCACCAGATTGCGGGTATCTTGCTAAGATCGGTGCAATTACCGGCCGTCCTTTTGCGCTCCGAACGATGCGCTTCCTGTGTCTTTGTTGTTGGTGTCCCTCGTCGGACCGTCGTGCACGCTCTGGCGCACGCCTCTGCGCTTAGACGTGATCACCAGAATGTCGACATAGCGTCTGAAGCGGTACGAGATGGCAATCTCCGCATCGAAAAGAGCTGGTCTAGACCCTTCAGCAAGTGTTGCATTGGAACGTACCCTCAGCTTGTGATCACGCTATGGAGTATTTTCCGCGTCGGAGTGGAGCCCGTCTGGTAGTCGGTTGACACATAACGTCTGTCACCAGCGATCGTCTCTGGGCTTTAATTGCACGTCTGATCACTCGGTGACAGACAGTTGCAAGCCAAGTGGAGCGGAAGTCTAGACTCGGCCATCTCGGTGAATGTGTGCGAGGCTGTCTGCTGAAAGTGCGGAGCAGTTCAGCTCGAACGCGTTTGCCAAGACAAATACGAAGCTGTGGCTGTGCTTCCCGCAAAGAGGCGTCAACTTAGATAGCATGTATCTCCAATCTTTCTATCGAAATTTCAATTGGAGCAAAGATCTACTGTTCCTGCGTTGAGTCATCGCTCTGATGTGGCACATGCTTTGGGTAGTCGTGCCGTGTGCTACAAGATGTGGCGAATGCAATGCATGCCTCGCCACTGTGGCGGAATACAATTGAAGTAGGAATTCTGTTGTCGATCACGCATATGATTGGGCCGTCAGTAACGGCCCTTCATACTTTATCACTAAACATAGACTCCTGGAAGCATTTGATTGATGGATAGTCCAACGGTTCGAAGGGCTTCCTTCCTGTTCCAGGTGGTCGGTAAAAATTGTAGTACGCGTCTCCTGCAGGTCGGTTGTAATGTTGCTGTAAGACCTTCGGGGTCCACGATGGTTCTGTTCCACATGTAGTCGGTGGCGATTTTCTTAACAGCTCGCAAACATTTCCTTTCCTCTGCTTTGCTGAGGTGAGTGACCACGTGGAACCTTGCGTATGCTCAGGACGGCACAGTAGTGGACTTCTCCAATGTTGCATGCCACGAATGCAATCATTTAGGTTTCGAGGCTAACCGCCTGCCGTCGGAGTTACTGAAGCAGTTCGCATTCATTTGCCATCATGGAACGTTCACTCGCTCATCTCTAACGAGTTGGCCAGAGAGCCATTGCTTCTCATCCGTTGACTGTGTGCCTTATTGACGCCGTCGGTTTCATGTCGCGACTATGCGGAGTAACCAAAGAAGCTCCGAGGAGCCCACTCATCCTCTGCCTCTTCAACCGTGTACGCTTCATGTCCATTCGATGGGGTCCTGACATTTGACAACGCATCTCCTTCAGAGCCGCTCCTGCAGGTCCTTGTCGATATCATCATAGTGTAGTTGCGATTTGATTTGCTGCGAGCTTCATGTAGCATGACATCAGACGGATCGCACCAAGTTAGCGCGGTGCCGGGATCCATTCGGCGATCGTTCTTCGGCTACAGCTGCCAACCAGCCACCTCGTTCTATGTGATCTAGGGTCCCTTTCCAAGATGTGGATAGCGGACCGATATGATTTTGGTCGAGGCGGTCAGAGTGCGACGTTGACGTTTTGAGAGAGAAAAAAAGAACATGCTGGTCGATTATTACGGAGGTGCATGATCACTCCGCTGACGCGCGAATTCCTTGCGTCGGTAGTTGAGCGAAATGTAACTGCCCTGAGTCGTGCCGGGGCCTAGCGTCGCACATGCTGATTAGAGTCTGCACGGACAAATGTTGGGAAAATGCCAGTCCGTTCGGTGTTCTCACTATAGCGTTTAGTATGATAATAATGTTACGTTTGAAACTGCACTGAGTCGCGTGCAAGGAAGAAGAAAAAGTGCAGTGGTTATGTTGTGTATGCCACAAAGACTTGTATTGTGACTTGAAGGAGACAAAATCATCTCCGAAAATCATCGGACTCTGCTTTCCGTGTGTACTTCAATAGAAAAAATTACAGCTCCGTTCCTATCGTGTGTATAGTAATCGCTGCATTCCGCCATGCATGCGAATCAGGATCATGACTTTCAATCTTAAGCCGCTGGAAAATGTGAGGATATAATGGGTATCTTGGTCCAACCAGAAAAGAAGAGTAAGGCGCGATATGTCAACACAAGGAAGAAAAGGCCCAGAAGTAGGCGTGGTATCTTCAAAATTGGCAACGCCGAAAGGAAGGAAATTGTGCCGGGCGATGGCCGGACAGATTTAAGCCTGGCACAGCAGTGCACGGTCCTGGCCAAACGCGCGAATAGTACAAAGTCATTATGATGGGTCGTGAAATGATCTCGAAGTCCGAGAAGATGCGGTAGGTGTCCTTTGCGCATAGGGTGGACAACTAGAAAAGCAAACGTAACTCGTAGCCAGATGAGTGTACGTTCTCGGTAACGCTAATGTCGCCATCGACTTGGATGTCCGTAGGACCAGCATCCCATTCTCGCTTCAGTTGATGTACCGGGGGCGTGCCGATTTCGTGGAACTCGGCGGTCATGTCCTGTTGCTCTGGCATGGCATTGATAGCGTCGTCGTCCATGAAAATCTGTAGGCCCTTTTGATTGACACGAACTGTGCGGGTCACCTTCGTTGGTTCGATGTTGATCTTCATTGCGATGCCGCTGACAAGCGCTTTTACGGTACGTTCCATAAGGTATACGGCACGGAAGTAGTTGTCATCAGGCTGCCGTCCTGCGATTCTTGGTTGCACGAAAAAGCATGCCACTAGAGCGCATGTGTTAGCACAATGTTTCATGACAGGGGTTCGGAAGACATACCTGGTTTTAGCATAGGCTCGGGTGGGGGCTGATAGGTCTGGTCAACGCCCAGTGCTTCAATCCAGCCTGAAAGTGCGTGGTCATCCGCGTATGGTCTCTGGACCTTGGTAGGTACGTCGGCGCCTCCATGCAGAGTGACTGGCATACCCTTGAGGTCTCCCGTAGCTGTCTGCGGGAGATTTCTCCACTCATTCGATGACATTCGCGAGGGAGGCTGGAAGGGCTTAGGGCGCTGAAAGGTAGACCCTCGTCGCTTATCAGAGGGAATCGATTGTGAGCTCGGGGTTGGTGACACGATCGATGACGCGCCCGTGTGTGTGCTTTGTCCTTCCCACATCTGTGCCTCGACAGCGGTATCGAGTTTGGTCAACTCTTGAGGACTGGACACCAGCTGAACAGGATGAAGGTCGGGGTCATCCTGCTCGTCGCCTTGCAAGTACAATACGCTTACAGGCCTGGTCGAGCTGAACATGTCTTGTAGAGAGGCTAATTTGATGTGCAAGTCCTCTTCAGCCGGAGCGCGCTGTCCGGAGTTTGAGCTAGCTGAAGACATTGACCATGTCCTCTTGTGCTTTGGTACCTTGCCGGGTCGTGTACTGGCGCTGCCTTTGGATATCGAGCTGCTGCGTTTGCGCTTTCCGAAGTCCTTCATTCCAGACTCACACTCTGCGCAGATTTGCTGCTTCAACTTGTCTATCGTCTTCTTTACGTGAGCAACATCGTTGGATAATTTTCGCTCGGCTCCATGGTCTCGGAAGAGTTTAACTTTGCAGAAGCAGAGTTCGGCATCCAGGCTTCCTTGTGGTGATCCGGCAACTTCCGATATGAGCTCTGTCTTCGCGCAAAGGCGGACAGGAATGCCCTTCACGCCTTTCGAGTGGCTGAAGTCGGTAGACAAGAAGTTGAATCGAACCGCCAATGAACATTCGGGGGAAGTGTTCTGAACAGGTGTCCATGTAACGACGAAGCCGTCAAATGAAGATGACTCAATCTCGACACGAGGCCGGCCCTGCACTTCGCCGCCGCCAACTTGGCTGGGGTCTACAAACTCAACAGCCTGTAGCGGCCACCGGCGTTGATGGGCTCGTCGTCCGCGACCCTCCTTCCAGAGTTGCAACAGCGTCAGTCGGTTGACGCTGTTTGCTCGTCCTCGAAAGAAAATGCGAATAAAAGCTTCCTGTATTTCAGAAGGGCCGGAAGACGTCTGCACAGGTGCCGTGTCCACCAACGAGATGGAATAAGCTTGTCCTTTGTTGAGATAGGTGACTGGCACTTCGTCGGACGACTTAATCATTGCAGTAGGCGCGTTCAGGGTAACGTGATACCGGAAGTTTTGGTTTGACGAAAGGGGAGGCGCTTGGACTGCAGCGGCAAGGTTATCTTGATAAGAATGACCGGCGAAGCCGATCAAGGGCGACTGCTCCTGCATCTCGATATCTGTAACCATGTTGTCCATGGGAGAGTCTTCGTGATGGGTTTGCGCCAAGGAGCCATGATCGAAAGCGGACGGCGCGTGAGTAAACTGGTGCGGTGCGAAGGCCTGGGCATGCTGGGGTTGGAGGCCAAAAGGATTGATATTTTGGAACTGGTGCTGGGCTGCGATAGCGTGAGGGTTGAAGCCATGAAGGTGTGGTGTTGGCGCAGTCTGGCCAGCGTGAACCCCTCCTTCCGAGGTGGGTAGCGAAAGTGGTGTTCCTAGGCCGAAGCTGAAGCCGGGAGTGTGCAGATCTCCCGCCTGGCTGTGATAGAGCGTGTTGGTGCCGCCCGGCGTCGGCGTGTAATAGCCAGGAGGTTGGTTCGCAAAAGAAGTGAATGCGAAGCTGTTGGGGTCAAGCAGAGATGGAGTGAACCTCCAAGGCTGATCGCTACCACGCGGCGTCGGATCCTGGTCCTTGATATCGTCGTGGTCGCCGGCATGTCTGAAGCAGACTCTAGTTAGCAAACCGCATGGAATAATTTTGTGACTACGCTGCACGTCCAGCATGACACTCTGTTACAAGCAGTGGGTGCAGAAGGGTTGCGCAAACACCATGTGGAGATACATACCGAAGGGGGTGTGCGACATCTAGCGCATCTGTAAGAGAGTGGCCTGATGGCCCAGCGACCGAGTGCGAACGCTGTGTGAGGTGCGGAAACGAAGTCTTGAAAGACTCTAGGAGTTCCTCATGTGGCTTCTGCGAATTCGTCCTGAATGGCGGTCAGTCAGGTCAGCCTAGGTACCAGGACCGCTCAACACCAAACGCGACGTGCGAACATCACAGCACGCTGATATGGCCGGCGCGAATAGAGGGGGAGGTGCAACAGGGGGGACGTACCGGTTGCGAAACATCGCGGATGAGCTCGAGGGAAGAGAGCAAGAAGTGAGGTTGGCGCATCGAGAAGCAGGATTGAAGTCGGGATGTTGGGGAGGCTTTGATAGAAGTGATTATGGGACGGAGCAGCCTTCCAAGAGGGTCAAGCCAACGTCAAGCCACAGGGCTTTAGTACAGGCCCGGAGCTTCCACGGGCCTGCCTGACATGGGCTGCAAAAGGCGCGTGGCATCGGAAACGAGCAGTGGGGTCGACGGTCTAGCCAGACTGAATCCGCTGTAATTTTGCGGCGGCCTCAGACGTCTCGTCTGCAGCTACTCTCTACCCAACACTCGTTCCATACAAACCCTACAGATCAGCCGGAGCCGTCTTGCACAGCCACTTGCCCTACGACAGCCGCGAGCCGGCCAGACTCTGTGCTGCCGTATAAGGTGGTGATTGTCGCTGCACCTGTCGCCATCCCGCGCCCAAGAGCGCAAATCCCGCCCTGGGGCCTGTTGCATCGATCCCAAGCCGTTGTTTCTCGAATCCACAGGAGCCACACCAGTGCGCGTGCGAGGCTTGTGTGGCTCGTCTGTCCCACCCGTGCCCGTGCCCGTGTCGAGCACATCGTATTTTACTTCCACCATACCCGCTAGGCCCTCTTGGAATCAACAAACCCCCAGCGGCGCGTACCGTATGCGTTATGACATGTGCCGGCCATCCTCCTCCCCATGGTCGGACGAGCCTTGAGCGCCCCTGGTCATTGCAGTATGCCGCGGGCCCAATGAGGCCACAGACCAGCTTCCACCCCTACCGCCTCTCCGTTCTCTCATGCTTCCGCCGCGTTTCCCCTGCGTATGAGCAGAAGATGGGCGACGAGGGTGCCTCCCCGCTAATTCGTCAAAGGATAACCTCCCGTAATCAGCCGTTGGCGCCGTAGCGCTTGCAATGGCCATCTCGCACGTTGCACGCCTAGTCGGAAGAGTTAATTCTTACCGTTCTTCTGTTGTTGTCAAGCCGAGATTAAGGAGTCGTTAGCGGGCGCTTTCCCGAAATCAGAGGCCATGGAACTGTTTCGATCGATTGATGGCTTTCGTCATAATCGCAATGCGTGCGTCGCTGATGAAACAACAGCCGCCAATTGACTTTGCAGCGACGACAGAATCGACCCGACATGTCCAAGATTGACGGTCACACCGGAATGCTGGTTGCTGCATGTACCAGAGAGACCCGTGCCCAATAGTGAAGCTAGCGACAATCAACCGTTGAAGAAGCGGAGAAAGCCATGCAGGCATATCTGTGTAAAAATAAGTGTGGCATTGTGGCAAATCTGACGTTGACAGCAGTCGATCACCGACGGCCAGGAAGGGATTGCACATCATCACGCGGGTGAATTCTGGAGTCGCTGCTCGAGTAGGAAAGTGATCGCTACTGTGCCACAGTGGCGTAAAAACTCGTTGGGCCTAGCAGCTGTGGCGTGGCAAAAGGTACTCGTCAGCTTCTGCAGGGAGTAGCGACCTCAAAGAATGACCCAGAGAGAACTAGATGCTCGGATTGAGTTCATCGAAACGCTGGTTTGTCAGAATGAACTAGAAGCTTTGAATGAGTTCATCCAAGGGTAGGATTGGACTGACTGGGACCGAGTAGCGTGTCATGATCAGTCGTTCCTCCTAGGAGATGCATTAGCCACAATGAAAGGCTATGTGACCATTTGTGCTACCTCTGCGAAGCGAACGGAGCAGAAACGCCCAGTTGTCATGGTACAGATTGTCACAAGAAAGCGTCGTAAGTGGGTGGCGATTTCGGTTCCTGAGACTCATTTCGCTTTTCCTAAGGGCGAACAAAATTTGATTACTTGCTGCAGTGGCGTTCATGCCGGGGTCCTGGAGCGTAAATCAGCATGCGTAAACATTCGATGCCCCGTCCATAATACTTGAGCCTGCCATAGCAGAGGCCGAGAGACTGAGGTCATTAGCTGTGCGGTGGGAAGACCCGGGGTCCTGCCCTAGCATCTGGATTCTAGGATGTTGCGTAGAGCTTGAGGCTATTGGACAGGCGACCTGATGTAACACCCTGGACTTTTTTCGCGTAGTTGACAACACGCACCATTTGACTAGACTCTGTACACGTTGCAAGGATCACATCGAGACTTTGTATAACGTAACTTCGCTGGCATATCACTCAGACGCGATGCCAAAAATCGCTACAGACTTGGTCGAAACGGTGTAAGTCGCTGCTCTCACCTGGTGCCAGATAGTCTTTCTCCGGCGGCTATGCTGAGTGCTGGAACGGACAACCGCAGTCTTGTCACTCTTTGCAGCTGATGACCTTGGTGCAATCTCCCGACAACTCCCTTCCCACACACACACACCATCCTGAACGGCTAAAATCATTCTTTCGTCAGAGTTGAGCAAGGACCGATGAGCCGACGAGTAATATATCATCCACTCTGGTCGGGTTCGTCATTCTCTTGTGTGAGTGGACCCATGGTGCGACTTGCTCGGAGTGACGAGGTCTTCGACGGCCTGATAGTCCTTGCTGGATTACCTCCTTGCGACACGGGTCTCTGGTGATCTGCTGAAAGAATAGAAACACCGCTGGGTGCACGGGTACTGACGGGTCGGTCTCTCGACGACGGTGACATCTCAGCACTGCGCTGGGTGTTGAATGAGCTACTCCTGCTGCTTGACGATGGGCGCAGGTTCACATTGTGGTTGTCCCGGAACGCCGTCAAGACGCTCGAAAGTGAGTTATGGCGACTGTCGGCTGACTTCGCCGTGGCTGATTGCAGACTCGATATAGACTCTTCGCGGCGCACACTGCCATACACCTGCACAGGACTGGGGATTTTTGAGGCGTTATAAGAATCCTGTTGGGTCGCTGATTGCCACGGAATCGAAACTTCTGGCGATGGGTCGGCATTGGACTCGTGGGGATGGCTGAGGAGTTGAGGGCCGCTTGACTTCATTGAAACATCATAATATCGCGAAGCATCGTTCTCTCTCATTTCTTCATTCAGAGCAAGGAGCTGGTCTTCACCAGGCTCGAAAGAAAAGTGTCGGCGACGTCTTTTCTCAGAGGTCAATTGCGGCTGTGACTGGAACTTGCGGAGAGTGCGCTGCGGTGTCGTGTCGTCAATGGCCGTATTCTTGGTGCCTGGGCCATCTCGTACGGGTATCGTATCAGATACCCCGAACTCCTCATCCGTTCGTTTATTAGGGACGCATGGTTGGGACAACAGTTGCATAAGGCCTTCAATGAACTCAGCAGTCTCGAGACCCCGTCTCCGTGCAACTAGAGTGCCAAGCTATTAGAAATGTAAGGTCAGTCTCTGCCCTTAACGGAATAGTTACACCCAGCCTACCTCTCGAAGTGCAATGATGGCATCGCAATCAACCGCCACCTCTACCATTGCCGATATTGGAGATGACATCTCATCAGGCAAATGATCCCCGGTACCCGAAAACCCCTGATGTGACTGAGGAATGTTCGACAGAACTTGCAGTATCGACATGACCAAGTTTGGCCAAGTTCATCTCGCTCTGGACTTTCCGGGAGAGCATCGGGTTGATATCGTCGGGCGGTGTGCCTATGCGAAGATCTTCACCTGCTCTTCCAGTGAAGTGCCGGGACAAAGCAGTCATCTTGGTAGACGGTGAGGTCGAACGTTGAAGCAGTACTAAAAGAGTTAGCATGGGCGCAATCCTTTACTTGGGAGCCAAATGATGATTGACACGCATCTTGTACCTTGCTGACTTCTCAGTCTAATTTCAGTGTCGATCTGCTCTTGGGTCAAGAATTCGTGATGGGTTCTGGTCTTGCTGTTGGATATAGTCTTTCGATGCATGCGCTTGCGATCTAAAACACTGCTTTGCCTAGCGTTTAGAACTCTAAGATATCGTTAACATAAGTGACAATGTGGATGCGAAGAGACTATACCCTGCCACGCCTGTGACGCCTTGCGCAATCAATAGCTCGAGACGACGTATCTCCTCGGCATATTGACGCTCATAGTCTGCCCAGCCTGTCTCGTACTGAAGTTGTCTCTCGCTCAACTCCTTGAGCGCGATCCGTAGACGGTCGATCTCATCTCTCCGTTTGTGGTAGTCTTCGAAGATGCGGAACAGGTTGTTATTGTGCTCCGGGGGAATAGGTTTCATAGAAAAGCTGGCCATGTGTGCGCGTATCGATGCGATTGCAAGTTTGGGATCCGCATAGGGTTCGAACAGCAGTGGCTCTTCGCCCCATGGCTCGGAGAACTCGGGCCCCTTAGGTGTGCTGGCGAAGCTGCTGAACAGCGAGGTGTATCGAACCAGCTTGGGTTTAGAATCCCGACGTGGTGTGGTGGGCTCAGTACGCTCAGAGAGCGCGTCTTCAGTCTCTTCCACTGTAGGCGTCACTGGCGGTGCCGTCGCAGGAGTTGCAGGGCGACTTCCTTGAATCGTCTTTCGCCAACCATGGTGGCGACGTCTATCGCTTGCATCGTCGGCGCCCACGAGATGATCCAGGCCTAGCTTTAGCGGCTGAAGCTCCTTGGGTTTGCTCTTCTTGCGCCAGCCCACGCCTTTGTTGTCCGGCATGATGTCGTTCTTTTCTGCCCGCAGCGCAGCTTGCTTTGCGGCTTTTCGAGCGATGAGGTGGCCAAGTCCTCCGCTTGAGAATGACGCGCGGGGTTGTAATCGAAAATGCCGAGCGGTCGCGCGGGCAGGGACGCAAAGCAGTGGCAGGTGGGATGAAAGTCGACGGGCCAAACAACAGCACCTCACATTCACCACAACGTTCACCAGAAGAAGCATAGACGATATCATATCGCCGTAGGTGAGAATGCGAGGGCCAGAGTATATGCAGATATCGAATCCACGCGAGCAGATCTTCTGCAGCACTTACAGCCACGTCGGCGAAGTGAAAGATACGTTATGATCACAAGCAACTGACCATTGCAGAGAGACAGAAGACCAATGATAAAGGCCACATGCAGCACTCTGGTGGAGTATGATAGAAGAGATGGACAAAAAGATATTGAAACAGCGGCTCACTGATACAACCTACCTCTCTGATGTGCGCCACGAGTATTTCCATCTGTAATGGCTCAAGTCGCATCCTCGCTTCAAACCCTATCATCGTCGAAGCCCAGGAATTATTCAGACCGACGAGGCGCACCTCCATGTCTCCCTGCATCCGGCAAAGTCAAGACTGTCGAAATTCTGAGTCGAAGCTTTGCAAGGTCCGTCGCCTTGAACATCCTACAGCCGATATCTATACTTACTCTCGGATCGTTCTCATGAAGACACTGGATGGAGCTGTCTCGTTACTATGCTGTCACTGTCACTGTCATAAAAGAAATTGCTTTCTTGTGAGGAAAATTATGTAGTCGAGAAGGCACGCCGATCACTGCCGGTTTCGGCTAACACACTCGGGAACCACACATCAGTCAACGCATTGCGCATCGCAAGTACGCATGCGTTGCACGTGTCTTAGATGATCCCTTACAGTGACCAGACGTCTTGTGATAAATTTTGCTGATCGGTACCAAGAGCAAGCCACGTGATGGCGCGCTTCGTACAACTTCCAAGGTTGGCGGAGACTGTCTGGGGCGCGTTTTGGTACTGTTTCATCACCACCCAGTTGCGAACACCAACTCCAGGCCTCGACACAGTCTACGCGCCTCACAACTCTCAATAACACTTTAGCAAGTATACAAAATGTACTTTTGGGCTAATAATGTTGTCTCCTCCAGTCCTAACGGACTTCAACAAAGATGGCGCGGTTTCCGGTCGTGCTCAGCACCCCAGTCCCAACCAAACCTCTCTCAAACCTGATCGCCATCTAGACCTCCAACAATGGCCACGACGAAAAACCAAGGCGCTCGTCTAGGCCACCTGAGGCACTTCCGACACACTGCAAAGACGTTGCGCCCCGGAAACTCTCATCCCGCACCAATCCACATCCCCGCCTGACAGGCGTGCCTAGCGCGCACAACCATGCCTTGCACTCCAGGAGCCTCAGGAACACATGCAGTCCGGTTTCAACCCTACGTGATTACGCGGCGGGCATAGGCTGGGCGTGGTATAAAGAAGTTAGATGCCCGGCTAGATCGGAACTCTTCACTTCAAGTCTACACATTTGCAAGTCACTACCAAACCTTCTATTCCATACGTTCCTTTGTCGCCGGGCGACTTAATAATCAACAACTTCTTTCTCTTCACGACAAAACATATTCCAAGCCAATTCGCTATATACCCCCAGTTTTATACTTCAGCCGCAAACATGCAGTTCACTACCATTGTCGCTACTCTCCTTTCCATGGCTGTTTTCGCCACTGCTGCGCCTGTCGCTGCTGGTAGGTTTTTACCTTTGCAAGGGATAGAGTGGAGCGAAGCTAACGATACCCAGACGTCGGTGCCCGCCAGAACCACGGCATGTGCGTCAAGGGCACTCCTGGTGCCGTTGAGCAGATCCCCGACTGCTAGATATGATACCAGGAATGCAGAGGGGAAGATAATGGATGGACGAGGTCAAGAGGAGGAATTGGCGTGCCGTGGAGTAGTCCGACATGCACTCCATGCACAAAGTTTACGTACACCAAAGGAATTAGTGTGTTATCGAATGGTAATACCACGCGGAATAGAATTGTCCTCACAGAGTGACCACTTCCCCACCACCCTCGCCGTTTGCTTGATGAACTCTGTTGTTTCCATTTCTCTGATGAACTCTTGTTATTCCCATTTCCATCCCTTCCTTATCTATGATGCTTGATGCAAAAACCCAAAACGCCATGCTATGCAAAATCATACTCCGAGCTCCTCATCCATTCAAACCCCCGTTTCCGTCCCCACCCCCCTCCCCATAAATACATCCCCGCACCGTTCCGTCTCCTCGTGCTCATGGTAAAGCACGCACCGACTCCCCCTCCACGGCTTACAACTCTCCCACTTGCGCTTCTTCTCCCCGTCTTCCTCATCTACCCACCGACTCCGCCCATCATCCCACCCCGCCATCGCCGTCCCCGCCTCCACGCACTTGGGTGCAAAACGCCAAACAGCACTCATCACACGCAACCGCGCTCTGCCGCGGAGGCAGTACTACTCGGCAATTATCGCACGCGCGCGTCGCGTGCCAGCTATCGGGGATTCACATGCGCAAGCGATG